TCTGCATAATTCGTGGCTTACAACTGGAATCTTGAATCAATTAAAACAAAGTCTAGGCTGTATAAATTATTCCTAAGGAAACCAAGTCATGAGCGTGAATCCAAATGAGTCATTTAGAAATAAGCTAACTTACCTTGTTCGTGTCGCCAGGAAAAATATTATTATTATGACAACAAATTGGATAAGGCTAGATCTAACTTAAAGCCAACATAGAAAATTCTCAATGAAGTGATCAGCAGGCGTGTCGCTAAATCACCTTATCCTGCAAGCTTCACCAAAAATGGAATGGAAATAAGCAATCCTACCGACATTGCCAATAATTTCTGTGATTACTTCACCAATAAAGGGCCAAATTTGGTGAGCAAAATTCCTTCCACAAATTCATCACCCAAGGATTTCTTGAGCAGCTCTCTTTCTGAATCCATTTCATTGCAACAACTAACGGTGGGTGAATTAAACAATAATGTCAAATCGTTCAACGCTAACAAAACTCCTGGACATGATAATATATCCACAAAGATAATTCATTAGTCTTTCCAAAATATTGCACAGCCTCTTGTAACTATTATAAACACTTCGTTGTCTACTGGCGTGTTTCCTGAATCTCTCAAAATAGCCAAAGTGATTCCAGTTTTTAACGCAGATGACAGATGACCCAATACTTTTTAGTAACTACAGGCCAATATCAATTCTTCCAGCCTTTTCTAAACTCTTTGAAAAAGTCATGTACAATCAACTGATTAATTTCTTAAATTTGCATAATATTTTATACTTGAAACAATTTGGATTCTGTAATAATCATTCGACTGCATTAGCTTTAAATGACTTGATCAACAACATATCTTCAGCTATCAAAAGAAATGAAACAACTTTAGGCATCTTCTTAGATCTTTCTAAGGCATTTGATACTATCAATCATGAAATATTGTGTCAAAAACTGCAACGCTATGGTATTCGGGATACTGCTTTGGCGTGGATCAAAAACTATCTTGAGGATCAGACTCAATTGGTCCAGTTTGGGTCCCATCGATCTTATCGGTGGAAAATTTTATGTGGCGTCCCACAGGGCTTAATTCTTGGACCTCTTTTGTTTATTATTTACATTAATGATCTTCCTAATGTCTCTAGTCTCACTCAATGATGACACAAGTATCTTTTGTTCCCATAAAGATGCCAACCACCTCGTTTCTATTGTTAACAATGAACTTGCAAAAATAATTATTTGGCTTAAAGTGAATAAATTATCTCTAAATTTGACTAAAACAAATTTTATGATTTTTTATCCAAGGCAAAAGAAAGTCAATGTTAATGTTCCTCTTACTCTGGAAAATACTGTGATCAAGCAAGTCATGGAGACAAAATTTTTAGGTGTTCTCATTGATCAGCATCTCTCTTGGAAATCACATATTGATTTTGTCTCAAAAAAAATCTCGAAAAGTGTGGGAATTATTGCGAAAGCCCGCTTTTACCTATCATCCCAAACGCTGATGAACTTGCATTACTCCCTTGTATATCCATTCTTAACATACTGTCACAGGAAAAAATAACGGATTCCCATTTTTGGATATTTTAGGGAATTTAAAGAATACCCACAAAAATCCCAAATTTGGAAGAGTGAGACAAGTCCCAATCAGGGAACTTGGTTGGGAATTCCCTGGTTGGGACTTGTCTCACTTTGCCAAATTTGGGATTTTTATGGGTATTCTTTAAATACCCTAAAATATCCAAAAATGGGAATTCGTTATTTTTTCCTGTGTGTAATGTTGCCTGGTCCTCCGCCTACTGTTCCAACCTAAAATGTATTTACCTTTTGCAAAAGCGTCTAATACGGCTCATAACAAAAGCTGACTTTCTAGCAAATACCACCCCTTTAATTTATTTAGCCAGCTTAAAGTCCTTGACATATTTAGTATTAATTCATTTTCTGTCGCTTCTTTTATGTATTCTTATCACAATAATCTTTTGCCTAGTAGCTTTCGTGACTTGTTCTTAAGTAGTAATCAAGTCCATCAATCACCAGCCTTCTCGAAGTTATATTTAACAGTATATCGTAAGATCGATAAAACATCAAAACTTCCTAAAATGACGTTTTTAGGGCAGGAAACAGTAAGAAAACAACACAGAGACATCTTTAGGAGGTATGTACACTTAAATGGCAGCTTATGTGCATTTTCACCGTTTTATCGATCTTATGATACATTCCCACATAAATCAGGTCGTTTCTCATTCACAGGACTTAGATTCCTTCCACATTACAAATACGGCGGATAAGTTATTTCCGGTATTCCACGGTTTAGTTCATTTCATTTCAAATCGCATGTTTATGTTCCAATATTTGCGCGCGCCGTACAAACAACGTATAAGACAATGTCCCTGTGCAATGTCCCACCGCATCTAAAACTTTCTTTGCTGAAGAATACTACTTAGACAAATATTAGTCGGCTACTTGTTATTATCATACATCGATAACCTATTATTAAAAGAAGGAAAAGGAAAAAGAATCGTACCTGGAATTCGAAGCCATCGTCTTCTTCTTCTGGAACGCATCTTGAGGACGAGGCTGATGTAACTTTACGCGGGAATTATCAACCTCGTACCCAGGCTCGGGCTTGGGAAAGCTGGGACCGACTTGTTCACACTTCGTGTTCACATACATACGTCGTTTTCTCTACCAAAAACAAGATGGCGGAAGATGAGCCACATCGTGGAGTTTTAAAACTTTTACAAGCTGTTGTTCGTTGAAGCACGTTCTGAAAATGAAGTTGGTTGCGAAAAATTTTGAAAAGGACAGTTCTGGGTAAGTGATAAATGACTTTTTTGCAACACAAGGTAATAACTTGGTCAATATTTGCCCAATTAATTTGAATTTTTGGCACAAAAATTGTCTTGGGTAGATCTGCATTTTAAAGGCATAAAATTGCACCTCCCCCATATTTGAGACTTGATTGACCACCCCTAGAACTTTTGAAACTTTTTTTCTGATACAGCTGTGACATACAACATAACTGAAATGAACCACTTAACTGAGAGCTGAAAAATAAGATATAGTTTAGGGGTACATACCTACTATAAACGGAGATAAACAACATTTTTAATCTTTTTCTTTTTGACGATCAGACTAATTTCTCTTAAAACTGTATCTTTCTTCTTCTTTGTTTAAGAGTTTATGGAATTTACATATCAACACCTTTCAAATGGTGTATTATACATAAATATCCTGTTTATATTTTTTAATTTACGAAAAATGACCATTTGCCTTGGGGAGTAAAATTAAAGAAAAAATGCACAAACACTGCACTATATCTGTCTTAAAAGAGACGACCTTAAATGTCTTAATTACAGAAAATTAGAACTGATTTCCTGATTCAATCAGTGTTCTCTCAAGAACAGTCAAAAGTTTAACTGAAGCTCTCGTAAGCGACCACCCCCCATAAGTGACCGCCTAGGCTTGACATTTTGGATGGTCGCTTACGGGAGGTTTGACTGTATTTTAAAAAAAATGGAACAAATGGAACAACTCTCCAAGTTGCGACCATTTTAGTCGCCATGGCACCTAAAATTTTGAAGCTGGCAACTTGATTTGTAAAAAAGTCTCTAAATTAAAAGAATTGGTCACCAAAGGGCGACCAAGAAAAAACTTTAACTTGGAGGGTTGTGGAAGGACTGACTGAATACTTTATGGACTGGCCTAACGGATGGATGGATGGACTGGATACTTAACTATGGACTAGCCTCACAGATAGACAGACAGACTAGATACTTTATGATCTGGTTCACAGATGGACGGACAGATGGACCGTTCCTTTTAAATATTTCTCGCTATCTGAGTAAGAAGAAGAAGAACTCAAAGTGGGAGACAATTGCAGGACATCAACTGACATTAAATGTGAGAGATAAAGGAAAAAATATCACCTGTACCTCCAAGTACTAATTTACTTCAAGTTGTAATGTTAAATTTTCAATTTTTCTAGGTCTGTGGTACTTGTGCCGGAAGAGGCTGAAGATATGTGGCATGCTTATAACCTGATAGCTGTGGGGGATCGGCTTAAATCAACAACTATTAGGTACAATCATGTGGTAGCTTGATCGTCTTTTTGTATTAGGGTAAACAATGAAGAATTAATCCTCATTGTACTTATGATATTATCATTATTTGTATGTGGTTAACTGAAAAAGGATCACATGATTAAATATGAAAGTGTCAACAACAGCTACTGAGGTAAATGGAGGTTCAAATGGTGGCAGCTGGGTGTTGACTTCCCCTACCTCATTTCAGACCTGAATTAATGGGCAAATAATAAAAAGCATACTCAATTCAAGGCCCTGGTTCCAGGAAGAAACTTAGCCTGTGTACAGACCCCTCTTCCCTCAGAAAAAATGGGAGAAGGGGCATCTGTAATTCACCATCACTAGTCATTTATGGGAATAATTTTGCATAAATCAGAAAAATAGTTTCCACCAACCACAATTTCTGTGGCTCAAGTTTCATGTCATACCAGCTCTCAAAATGCCGGTGCATGCGACCTATTTCCATCAAGCAGTTGAGAGAGTGAGACATTTTTAAAATCGCTTTACTCTATACCGGGCAAGAAAAATGTTCTGACAAGCCCTTATTGAAGGAAAAGATCCATGATCATATGCAAGACTTCTTTAACCTGTAATGTATAACTTATCTAGGGGAGGACCTCCAAGGGATCTCAAGGACCGGATAGAGTAGTGTTAGGTAGGGTGTGTAAGAAATTACGGGATAAAATGTTTGCTTATATTTATTTTCTGTCAGACGTGTCCAAACTGAGTCTGCTACAGGATCAGTGAGTAGCAACAAGGTTAGAACAACGTTGGCCATAGCAGTGGAGGGCATTGAGTTTGATACGCAGGCGTGCATGTTAAGGATCAAAGGACGTAATGTAGAGGAAAACCAGTATGTCAAGGTAAAGAAAATAAAATTATCTAATGAATCAGAGACATCTAGCAGGTTTATCGAAGAGATATTGAAACTACATGCCACCTAATATTCCAAAAATATGACCATCATTATCAAGGCATTGGAACTCAATGGAAAATTCTGATGATGGTTTAAAATTTCTCACTGTTGCTACTTCCACAATAATACTGATGATAATTTTGTGTTTTCTTTATCTTAGAATTTGATTTAGTCACTGTAATTTAATCCCTTACAAATTACATTTCCAATTAGATTGCTAATGCTGTGAGCGGTTTTTACATGTTTTAATGGGCACCACTTGTTTTCGGCTGGTTAGTGTACACTTTGGTTGTGGAGATCACAATTAGTTGTTTTTTCAGTAAGTAAAATTATTGATATTTGCAATCACACACCTGATAACCCGATCAAACTTCTTCCTTTGTTCAATAGATGGGTGCCTATCATACCATAGACTTGGAATTAAACAGAAAATTCACACTTCTCAAAGAATACTGGGATTTGATAGCCCTTGAAAGAGTAGGTGAGTATTCTACCACAAAAGTTGCCATAAAACTCCTGCTGCAAGTGCTGCAACTCTTCCTTGAATACAGACTGTCTAACCATCCCTATATTGTCAGTTTTCTGCTGATTTTGCTCGAAAATCCCTAATCCCAACCAATATGCGATCGGGCTAGGAAAATTCTGGATTATGAGATTTGCTCTGATATTTTCCAATAAATTCCTTTGACACTTATACTGGAACACCTAACAGAATCTACTTAACTGAAACTGATATCCAGAAATCTTTTAAAATCTGCAAGAAATATAAATATAATCGAGTACTTGTACATGAAACCACACAAACATAAATTAGATTGAACATGACAATTGATTTAACAAACATTTTAGACATTCTAATCCGGTTCAGAATTTCCTATACCTCATAGCCCTAATCATTCTTTACAGACAAAAGACAATTTTGTTTCAACTTCAGAATGAACTTTATCGTCAGCAAACTTTTTCATGCCTAAGCAGGGAATGTATTTTAGAATTTTTTTTGTCCTAAACAGGGACAGGGTTTCAAACCCTCGGCAGCTTACCTATACCCAAATATTGGTCAAGTTACCCCCCACGTTACACTGTAGGATTTAAGCAGTTTAGATTTAGCCTAGAGACAACTTTATTGGAAATGAATTTTAGTGTTTAGCATAGAAAATTGATGAGCATGTTTTTTCAGTCTCACAACTGAAGGTCAAAGCTTATTTTGTTCTTCAGTTCCCTTGATTCTTTTTTTTTTATTATTGCTCTGGTGAATGAATATGTTGTGTTTCAGAGATGGCATGTGATCCAACACAGCATGCTGATCTGGGAGCCATCTTGCTTCATGAAGGTACCGATGATTTTTATTTCAAGCTGTTTGGTGGTACAAAATACGCCTACCCACCCCATTAGTGGATGGTTGATAACAATTTCAAGGGGGAGGAGGAGATCTAAGGCCAAAATTTTTAAAGAAAAGTATGAAGTTAAAGTAGAATTTCTGGGGTGGGGTGGGGAGCCAAACTAATAATATCATCTACTGGGGGTATGAATATTTTCTGGATGATTGTATTATTGTGAGAGGTTTAACCCAGGAGTCATATATTACATAACTAGGTTGAGTATGATTGTCCGAGTGGAAGTAGTCCTGAATAGTACTGTTGTTTTTGACAGTGACAGACTGGTAAATTTGTGTACTAAATGAACAGTGTCATTAAGAATTCTCTTAACTATAACCTCCTTTTTCAGCTAATTTCCATTGTTGTTGTTGTTAAGGTTTAGGTCACATTATGTTGGTTACCTCAAGCATGACAATAGTACGAGCCAAGATTGATATGAACATACCAAGAAAAAGAAAAGGCTTTTGCAGCCAACATGACAAGGTCAGTTGAATTTTACTTTGTCTTTAATCTCGATGGTAATCTGAAATGTCTATAATGCAGCAGCATCACACCAAGTACTGTGGACCCATAACATTTCCTTTCCCTTCATGAAAGATACACCACAACACCAGGGTATATTTGCCCTCTCTTTCTGAACAGCAGTCTGTTCCTTTATGTCCCCTATGATATGATAAGGAGGCCAAGGATAGAGGAGACCAGGCCAGTGGCTTTACATCACAGGGTTTTCATTAAGAATTCTAGTAGCAGCAGAAATGTGTAACGTTACAGGAGAATATTTTAAAAGAGGCTCGGTGTCTGAATAAAAAATAGTCATAGGCTTTTGAAAATTAGCCATAGAATTCTGCGTAGTAAACAGATCTCTAATGCCTAATGAATACCCTGGGTCACTGTGTAATGACATCATAAGCTGAACTGATACATGATCTAATTCACAGTCATGATCTAGTTAGATTTTTGAAATCCCTGTTTTGTGGTCCAGCCAGTGTTTTGAAACCTCAGGTGACCCAACAGCAGACTAGCCTCCCACGACATTCTAGTGTTCCTGCCCCACGAACATTGGGGAGGATATTTGTGTTATGAGCTAAAAGGATGTCTGGAGACTAACAGCAGACCTGCACTCTTTCAACTGAACTGAAAGGGTGGCTCACTCATTTGTCAAGGTTAGGCTCAGCAGTGGCCGGTGTGTAAAGAAAACGTTTTCCACTTATTTCATTTCACTCAGAGGAAAATTACACTTAACCAATGTTTGGCTTTGCCCTGACGTGTTGCAAACTGAAAAAGGGAAAAATATAGCTTTCCTTCCCCCACCCCCTCATTGCAAGTTTTGCCTCAGTTTCTGCCACCTGTAGATAACAACAAACACCCCAACTTTGAATGGAGGGGAGGGGTGTGGATTGTTTTGTTCTCTGAAGGAACCCCCATCTGTTGCCAGTTGTAGCAATTGACATGAGTTTCTGCAATTTTTTTTTTTTTACATAATTATGTGTATTGAGTAGACACCTCCAATTTTAAAAGTGGACACCAGTGACCAAGGGTCCTATGGTTTCTTTACAATGAATACTCGTTTCCCTAAAAGTTCTAAAGTGTAATTTCTTTTGCAGGGTTTACTCAGGTTTTATGATGCTATAATACAAGGTGTTCTCAGACATATAAACTTTGATGGTAAGTTGAGTCTGTAATATGCAGATAGTATATTTAAATTTTTGCTCACTTCTGTTGACATGGTAAATCTTACTGCCAAAAGAAACAAAATTCTTTACTCTTTTTCCCTTCATGTTATTTCTTAAGCTTCATGAAATGATTTCCCTTTGTTTTTCTTTATTACTTTGTCCCTCCCTTGGCAAAGCTAATGGAAAGAAATAATAAAAAAATACATAAAACTGCATGTCACATTCCCATGATGAATAATCAAGGTGTTTGAAAGAAACAGTTTTCTAGAGAAACATCACATCATGTTCTGCAATGGAAAACCAGAGATCAGGGTAAAGAGGTCTGTTCATCTTGACAGTGAATCTGGGTCCGTTTGATTTCTCTAAATGGAAAGACCTGTTCTTTTTCCCGGATGGAATGTTGTTTCTTGTTTTAAAACTGTCAAAACAAATTACCTCAGATTGTACAAAAATGTGATTATCAAGGGCACAAGATTAACATTAATGTTAGTGTGGAGGAAAATTTTTGTTCCTTATTCAGTTCCTGGAGTTTTTCTTTGCAGTTATAAAGTGTGTTCTTGTTGCAAGTCCTGGCTTTGTTAAGGTTTGTATTTAATTTGTTGCTAAAATAATATTGCTCATTTTCAACATTTAGCTGGTAAACTGCCATGGTCAAGACGTCTTGGAACACTTGAGGAAAAAAGGTGCGAAGATGCACTTTGCTAAATTAACTAGTATTCTTTGTCTTATGAAAGCAGGGGAATGTTTTTTATTAACCCTTCAGGTAAGGGCCTATTCCTGCTGTCCCCTGCTCCCCCAAGTAATGTTGTTTGTGTTGAAAAATCTTGACTTGAATGCATAACATCAACACTGCATCAGTGGGAGGGGGTAGGGAAATTGCATCATCTTGACAAGCTATTGCTTTAGTGTCTCGAGAGTTTTGACCAGTGTGGTACGGCTAAGTGCTGATTTCAGCTTCACTCGTGAATTGTAATGTGATCCAAAGTATTTTGATGTATCTGTCCTGCAACCATACATGTAGTAGGACAGAACTTTTGGAGCTTCAAATAATTTATTTTGTTAGTTCATTGCATAAAATGTCAGTGTGTATTTTATTGCAGTGAGAAATTTTTTTCATGTAGTTCAAGAACAAGTTGTTCTTTTTTTCCTACAATTTTCTATAAAAGCCTGAAGATACTTTTTCCAGACACATCTCACACTCCACACCCACCTTTCCCTTACCTTTGCTCACCTGAAAAACATAATCCCTGTTATAAGTAACCATGGCAACTCATATACTCTGTTTACAACTAACCTTCTGTGGAGCATTTTCACTCATCTGTGGAGCATTTTCCTTCATGTGGCCAGGATCTATGCAAATTTATTGGAACAAAAGAAAACGTTTAAATAAGAAAAGAGTTCAACCCCCACAGGATTGTCTTGGTACACCAACATGGCCACCGTTTCATTGCTTTGGAACACCAATATGGCCACCATGATGTCATGTGAAAACACTCTATAAATGCACTGGCCCAGGTGTTTAACCACAACTTTCTTTTGACCATTCCAGGAACAGTTTTGTGATTACATGTTTCAACAAGCAATAAAAAATGAGTGGAAGGCAATCACTGAGAATAAATCTAAGTTTATTTTGGTAAGTCAGAAAGCATAAAAATAAAGGTAAAAATATTGTCATTAGGTTCTTTGTCTGATTGTGTATTTATAGATATTTCTCAGTTTCTTGCCTTTTATCATAGTTGTATGGGTATTTGCGAGGCGAGTGCTACAAATTTTATATACTTTTATTGACTGTATTAGTTATTTGGTTATTGTATCTAACTCAACTTATAGTTAATTTATGACAATGTAATCGTAGCCAACAGTTACCAGCACTGTACAAATGATTTATTGTCGAGATCAAGCAAAACTAACTACGAGAGAACGACTGGAGAACTGACAATTTGACTAACAATAGACGGATCGAAACGCACCAATTACTGATTACGAGTCTTTATAGCCAATAACATCACGGCTTAACTGACAGACAACCAATAACATCGCGACGTAATTGACTAGTCAGATCAATAACCAGAGTATACCATCAACTGACGTGATACAACTTACTTTGACTCTGAAGATTACTACTGCACAGATTGTCAAAATGTCAGTCACTGTGAAAGAGTCATTTCAAAAGTAGGTTGATTTTGATCGTCGCGGTGAACGTAGTCCTGAATAGGACTGTTGTTGTTGACAGTGACTGACGTTTCGACAACCTGTGCGGCAGTCATCTTCAGAGTCAAAGTGAGTTGTGTCACGTCAGTGACTGTCAACAACAACAGTCCTGTTCAGGACTACGTTCACCCGGATGATCAAACTCAACCTACTTCTGTAATAACTATTACTATAATAAAATGGCGGTTGTGTTTTATTTCAATCTAGGTCCATTCTTCTTCAGGTCATAAACATACCCTTAAAGGTGCGCAATATGTACTTAATGATTAGAAAATTCTTTTCAAATTGTCATTAAATATCTGGCATGTTTCCTTGTAGACTTGTAAGGGTTGTACTTTGAGTTGTTGCCCACAGCAGCACTTTTCAATGCATAACTTGAAAGCTGTGAAAAAACAGGGACCTTGTTTCTCTGGGAGGATAGCCTGCACAAGTGGTGCAAATTTATTCATGTGTGACTGCTTCATTCCATGGGCACTTTAGCTTGCTGTAAAGTCACAAGAAGAATGGGGATGAATCAGTTGGAGATCCCCTGGGATTTTCTCTCATCTAGCCACACGTAGCCTAAAAACACGTAAAAGCACCACTAGACTACTGTGATAGCAAATAAAGAGGTCTATTGCATATGTTCATACACAGAAGAGGACCCAAAGTCTTTAAGTACCACCGTCTGCAGCTGTACAATGTAAATATGACGCAGCCTGTCTGAACTCATTGATCTTCTAAGGCAACATGAAAGTAATGTTCACCAACTCTCACAACCAACCAGAACCCTCACAACTAGCATAAACATTTTTTTATTCATTTACAGAAGTTCTTGCTGATCCTGCTGTTACTGCCAGGTTAGCAGACACAAAGGTAAATAGTAGGGACAGGAAATTGTTTTCTGTCTGCAGGTCCAATGAATTCATAAGCAATGGCCTGAGTTAGACTTAAGCTTTCGATTCCATCATGGATGTGTATGTCAATAAATTTTCTATCCGGGGAGAGGATTAAGTAACTCTTTCTTCGCTAATAATTCCTAGATAGTTTTTGTGTAGTTTTCCCTTCCCTTTTCTATTCTTCAACTCATGAAATTGACACCCTTTTATATACTGCCAGCGTGAAAAAAACATACAGTCAAACCCCGTTATTATGGACACTGAGGGGGCCATAAGTAATGTCCGTATAAATGGAGTGTCCATATTAAGAGAGTTCAGTTGAGAGAAATTGTGAGGACTTGCTTTCTTCAGGGACAAGGAAAATGTCTGTAACAACAAGGTTTCCGTAATGAGTGGGTTTCCATAAAGCGGGGTTCGACTGTACCCCTTTCAGGTGGAGCATTCCCTGCTAGTCTCTTATATATAAGCAGGCTAGATACAAGGGTCAGAAAACGAATAGCCTTTTTTATTTAATGTGCCATAGGCAGCAGGTGAAGTCAAGGCGTTGGACACTTTCTTTACGATGCTGCAAACAGAGCCAGATAGAGCATATTATGGGTATGTACATTATTTCTTTCTTGGATAACATGCTACTTGATACTTGCCTTTTGACAGCTGTAGATAGAGACCCTGTTTATTGGAAGCTTGTCCTAACCAACAACAGTGAAGGCTGTGATTATGCAGTGTACATTACAGGCTGGTGTTATTTAGCAAGTAGAACATGAAGCAAGCGTTCAACGTGCCACATCCCGGTTCATTGTTTACGATTCACGCTTGGGAAGCAAGGGTGGCACAGTGGTGAGAGCACTCGTCTCCTACCCAGGTTCTATCTAGGGTATTTGAGGGGTAGAAGCTCCCCCCCCCCAAAAAAGATATTGTTATCATTACTAGTATATTTATCAATTATTCCTCGAGCCCATTGACTCCGAGCCCAAATGGGCTCGGAGTCACTAGAAAGAATAAGATTCACGTTTACGGCATACGGCAAACGGCAAACGTTAGTTGAGAATTTCTCAGAATAGAAAATAAGCAGATAAAAACAGTCCAGAGCGATTCTTATGGATAAAGCTTGCATAAAACTACTTATTTTTGTGTAGAAGCAATAGACAGTAAACGGAAAATAAGGGGAAAACTTGGTCACGTGGTACAAATTCACGTTTGCCGTTTGGCGTAAACGTGAATCTTAATCTCTCTAATAGCCCATGAAGCCGAAGGCCAAATTAATGAGCTATTGACTCAGAGGCCATTCGGGCTCAAGGAATTGTTTTAGTAAAATCCAACTAGTTGGTCAAAAATATGGAGAATAATAGCTAGTTAAAGCTAGGCTTTAATCCTTTTCTGCCGCCAAAAAGCGCGCGCTTTTCCCTACTAGTAGGTTATAACATATAGCCGAGTAGTAGCTCAACCAATCAGAACACAGCATTGATAATAGACCACTAGTTGGATTTTACTAAAAATAACTATTCCCCCTGTTCCCCATTTCCTCTGTTCCCCTTGTTCCCTTGTTCCCCTGTTCCCCCTATTCCCCTGTTTTCCCTGTTACCCCTTTCCCTCTGTTCCCCTGTTTCCCTTGTTCCCCTGTTCCCTCTGTTCCTCTGTTTTCCCTGTTCCCCTGTTCTCCCTGTTCCCCTTGTTCCCCTGTTCCCCTTGATCCCCATTAACCCTAACCCCCTGTTGTCCTTGTTCCCCTTTTTCCCCTTTTTTTCCTGTTCCCCTTGTTCCTTGGTGCACCTGTTCCTCCTTTACTCCTTGTTCCCCTATTCCCCCTGTTCCCCATCTTCTGTTCTCCCTGTTACCCCTTTTCCTCTGTTCCCATGTTCCCTTGTTCCCATTGTTCCCCTGTTCCTCTTGATCCCCCTTAACCCTAACCCCCTGTTATCCCTGTTCTGCCTTTTCACCTGTTGTCCCTGTTCCCCTTGTTCCCCTATCCACCTGTTCCCCTTGTTCCCCTATCCACCTGTTCCTCCTTTTCTCCTTGCTCCCCTGTTAACCTGTTTCTCCTGTTCTTCTTTTTCCTCAATTCCCCATGTTCTCCTTGTTCCTCTGTTCCCCTGACCCCTCCTTCCCCTATTCTCCTGTTCCCCTTGTTATCCGTGTTTCCCCTTTTGCCTTTGTTCCCCCTGACCACCTGTTCCTCCTGTTCTCCTTATTCGTCTGTTCCCCCTGTTCCCCTTGTTCCCCCTGCTCCGCTTGTTCCCCTGTTCCTCCTGTTCCCTTGTTCCTCTGTTCCCCCTCTTCTGCCTGTTCCTTTGTTCCCCTTGTTTCCCCTGTTCCCCTTGTTCCCCTGTGCACCTGTTCCTCCTTTTCTCCTTGTTCCCCTATTCCCCCTGTTCCTCTTGTTTATGTGTTTCCCTGTTCCCCTTGTTCCTTTGTGCACCTGTTCCTCCTGTTCTCCTTGTTCCCCTATTCCTCCTGTTCTCCCTGTTCTCCCTGTTACCCCTTGTTCCCATTGTTCCCCTTTCCTCTTTGTTCCCCTTGTTCCCCCTGTTCCCCTTGTTCCCCTTGTTCTCCTGTTCCCCTGTTCTTCCTGTTCGCGTGTTTTCCTGTTCACCCTTTCTTGCCTGTTCCCCCTTTTCTCCCTGTTCCCATGTTTTCCTGTTCACCCTTTCTTGCCTGTTCCCTCTTTTCTCCCTGTTCCCCTGTTCTCCCTGTTACCACTTTTCCTCTGTTCTCCTGTCCCCCTTCTCCCCCTGTTCCTCCTGTTCCCCTTGTTCCCCTGTTCTCCCTGTTCCCCATTGTTCCCCCAACCCTAACCCCCTCTTGTCCCTGTTCCCGTGTTCTGCTCTTTTTCACCTGTTCTCCCTGTTCCCCTTGTCCCCCCATTCCTCCTGTTCTCCTTGTTCCCCTATTCTCCCTGTTCCCCATTTCTCCTGTTTCTGTTGTTCCTCTGTTCACCTGTTCCCCCTGTTTCCATGGTTCCCCTATCCCCCCTGTTCTCCTTGTTACCCCTTTCTCTCTGTTCCCCTGCTCCCCCGGTTCCCTTGTTCCCCCTTTCCCCTGTTCTCCCTAATGCCATTGTTCCCCCTTAACCCTGAACACCTGTTGTCCCTGTTTTCTCTTTTCACCTGTTCCCTTATTCCCCTGTGCACCTGTCCCTACTTTTCTCCTTGTTCCCCTATTCCCCCTGTTCCCCATTTCCCCTGTTTTCCTTGTTCCTCTGTTCCCCTGTTCCTCTTGTTCCCCTGTTCGCCTGTTTCTCCTGTTCTCCTTGTTCCCCTATTCCCCATGTTCCCCTTGTTCCTCTGCTCAACTGTTTGCCTTGTTCCCCCTGTTCCCCTGTATCCCCTTTTCTCTTGTTCTCCCTGTTACCCTGTTCCCTTCGTTCACCCTGTTTCGCCTGTTGCCCCTGTTCCCCTGTTCCTCCTGTTCCCTTGTTCTCCCTGTCCCCCCTGTTCCTCTGTTACCCTTGTTCCCCCTGTTTCCCTGTTCGCCTGTTTCTCCTGTTCTCCTTGTTCCCCTATTCCCTCTGTTCCCTATTTCCCCTGTTTTCCTTGTTCCTCTGTTCCCCTGTTCCTCTTGTTCCCCTGTTCGCCTGTTTCTCCTGTTCTCCTTGTTCCCCTATTCCCCCTGTTCCCTATTTCCCCTGTTCTTCTTGTTTCTCTGTTCCCCTGTTCCCCCTGTTCTCCTGACCCTTTTTTCCGCTGTTCCTCCTATTCCCATTTCCTTTTTGCCCTGTTCCCTTTGTTCCCCTGTTCCCCCTGTTTATCTTGTTCCTTTTTTCCCATGTTCCCATGATCCCATGATCCCATGATCCCATGATCCCCTTGTTCCATGATATTCCTGTTCTCCTGTTTCTCTTGTTTCCCTGTTCCCCTTTGACATTATTTACTCTAAAACGCCTTTGCTTAAGCTCCCTAATATGTCTTAACAAGAAGAAGGCGCTCAAAAGGGAAGGAAAAAGACGAACATCCCCCTGATATCTCCTTTTCCCTTTCCCTTGCCAGTGCTTGTCTCGTACATCAACTGAAAAAGAGCGTGGCTTGGGGTGACGTATTTTTAATTCAGAGGTCTTGGGATCACGACACTCCCCTTACACTATCCGGATTTTTTTTCCTGACTGACCCAAGTTAAACTTGCTTAGATAGTCAGCTAGTCTTTCAAATATTCCGACCTTCTTATGTTTTTGTGTAGAAGTTAGAATAAAGACGGTTTTGTAGAAAACATTCGGAACGCACTTAAAGTTGAATTTCCTAGAGAAAATATGAGGGTTTACTTTCTCCAGGCACCAGAAAAAATGTGCGTAATAACGAGGTATCGGTATTAAGTGGGTGACCGCAAAGCAGGGTTTGACTGTAATTTCTGTTCAGAAAGCCATCCTTTGAATCCAGTTCCACAGTTATTCAGTCAATTAAAGAAGCACTCAAAGTGCTTTTGAAAGACTGGAACCCTTGTTTTAGGTGGTGTTTTCATCTTCTTGAGATTTCACTTGAATGAATAGTCATGCCTCAGACTCATAAGTTACAACACGTAACAATTCACGGCAAGAAATATGGCATTCACCGTCACGGAAAACCCTCGGTTAATTTTCGAAAACGCGGCATTTTGCTAAAATTCCCTCGCGTTTTCCGGTCGTAAAATCCACTCTTTTTCTGTCGTTTTCATGCCGGTGAATTCGAGAATTCGTTCCACTATCCGATAGTTTTCAGGCTCACTTAACCCCACACACTTTATTCACACCTTTCACACATTACATAGCCTGCGAGTAAGCTCTCCTATTTGGGTGAAAGGAACGAGCCGCATGAGCAAGCGGCGAAGCCGCCTGATGTCGCGTCTCCTCCCTTGCGTGCCTCTCGCGCGTCTATTTTTCACGATATCTCCCAAATGAAGAGCTTGCTCGCAGGCTACACATTACATTTCTTGATACACTTTACAATTACATGGTATGCGAAATTTTTAGATGTTTTTGTCTGGTATATCTTTAGCATTAATCACGTGGAAAAGGCCAACGAAGCAATTGCTGTGGAAACACTTCTTGTCACTGATGAACTTTTTAGGTGAGAAAAACATGTAGCGTTTTAGCGGCTTGCATTCTTGAAACGGCAAGTGAATGAGGAGCTTGCTGCAACTGGGGTAGTACTTGGTGTAAGACTGCCCAAAATTTACCCCCCAACTGTTTGACTCACAGCATGTGGTACCGTAAATGACCTAATAAACACCCGGGGCGTAAAGTCTACTCCACGCTCCCACTCTGCGCTCGTTCCCATCATCCCCCTCTTGCTCTTCTCCCTTGTCTCCAGCTCTCGCGCTTGTTGCTTGTTCCATGCTCCCCACTAAGATCTGGGAAAGCCTTTGAAGGAGGCAGGCACCAAACGATTCGATTAATGTCCCACAGGCTCAAAAGTTAGAAATAAAAGTTGCTTTAGAATTACTGGAAAATTACTTTAATCCCCTCTCGCAAATACCTGAAGAAAGGAAATCACTGAATAATGATGTGGTAAAAGTACGTGATTACTCTATTTAGTATCGCTGACTGAAAACTTAGTTCTCTGTTTTCCTTAGGTCAACAGACTTACCCACGCGCAAACGATACGTCAAACTTGTTGAAAGCGTTAAAGAAAATGGCGGGGATGTCAGGTAAAAAAAATGCCATTATTTCTTTCAGTTTTAGGATGGTTTTCAATTGGCCCTTTTGCTTGAAACGTGCTCGGTTTTGTGTTGAATTTGTCTACGGAAGTGTTTTGTATTACCCTAGTTTACTGCGCAAGCCCGTAACAACCAATCAAAGATGCAATAGCGTCACCCGAAACAGTCCCATGATACAATCTGACACAAGACAGACCCAGTTCCCCGCACCCTAGTAATAACTTGTCAAACAAGTGATAGCGTCACCTAAAACAGTCCCATTATCCCATGATACAATCCCACACAATACCGACTCAATCTCACATGCAACCTCTACACTGAACCTTTCCCTGTTTCTTGCTCTCGCATCTTTCGAGTGCCGCTTGCGCGTGACCTCTTGCCATATTCCTTAAATGGAGAGCTAATTGCTGGCGAGCAAAGTGATCAGATGTAAACAACACTTCAGCGACTGTAGCGATTGTACCGATCATGTTACACTTGACCAGAAGGCGACTTTTTACTGATTATGAAAGATGGAGGTGACTCAATATAATCGACGTGAACTAGTTTAAAACTAAGCAGCTGGTACTGCGTAAAGGCTATTTAGAGCCTCTTAATCCTTAGTGTTTGCTGGGTAAATTAGACTCGCGTTTGTTGTTGTTGTTCTTCTTCTTCTTATCATGTTGTTGGCTGTTTTGTTTCAATCTTTCAGGGTGTTTTCAAGTCTGCATGTTTCAGGAGAACGTAAGTGCATCCTCTGCATTAAAGATAAAACAGGCCTTTTTATATATTTTCATTGCAAAGCAATTAGGATTTTGTTTTTAAATAACAGGGAATTGAAAATAAAATTCTCGCATGCAGCAGTAAGTGGCCGCCTGCCCCTCCCCTAACCCAACATTTTGCTCTAAATAAGGAGCTAACGTTGCGTTTAACCTCCTTGACATGGATTTTTCCAATTTTTTTTTAAGTGAAAAAGCCCTGGGAACGAGGTTGGATTAGGGGAGGGGTAGGTGGGTTGTTTCTCAGAGTCTTGGATCACCTAAAGTAGGTTTCCTCATCAGAATAATGGCACGAACTATTTGATTTTCCAGTAGTAATATCCTGTTTCCCTATGGAAATACTAAGTATCCCAGTTCTTTAACTGACTTTAACGGCTTTCTCTTAGCTTTAGTGTGACTTGAACAAAAAATATTTCTTTAAATGAAACGTGATTTTCCTTTTTCTCTGTTTTGTTTGTTTGTTTTTAGAGCTTGGGCAGTTGTCGGGTGTTGCAGCCATATTACGGTTTCCAATGCCAGACATCGCTAATGATGAGGACTCGGCTGAGGAGTCTGAAGAAGACTAATATAACATTAAATATGAAATATAAAAAAGGAAAGAATGTACTCTCGTTGAAACGGGGGTAATTATCAGTAGCTTTCGATGAAGCTCAATCTGCCTGCTCCACAGGATTTTCCAAGGCTTAGCGGGGAACAGGGACTGGAGACAAGCGAGAAGCGCGAGTAGGGGATGATGGGAACGATGACAGAGCGCTCCTTCTCCCCAGCTTTCCTTTATAACAGGCTATTTTCACCTTGAAGACATTTGACTACAACTACCGGGATTCATTTCGTTTTTGCTTTCTTTTTTAAATTTGTCAATCCTGCTGAGGTCTAAAAAGCAAGAGCCCTAATATGCACAAGAAGACAACAAACTGAAAGATTCTGGTCGTTGTAGTTAAATGACGTCATCGTGCAATTGTCTCGCCTGCAAACAGCAGACGCATTTCCGGTCGTCGCTTTTCGGAGGGAGAGAATGCGTCTGCTGTTCGCAGGCTAACAATTGTCCTATTGACTCAAATATCCCCCAAAAGGGCGATAGCGAGCTGTTGGTGAATTTTAGTGGCGCTTAGCGCATACTTTTTTTGTTGTCATCAACATGTCAGCCAGAGACTCACTGGCTCTCAAACATTTTTTTGTGTTTTATTTGTTTGCACATTTGAATAACAAGAGTAATGCTTTCAAATTTGAAATATCGCTACAGACGAACACTGTTTACCAAGCAAAACGTGTCGTTAATAATTCATAATAACGGCTGTGATTAAAGGAGGTTGGGATATCAGAAACTAATCACTACAAAATTTGAGAATTACAGCGTGGAATTTCGTGAAAAAAATTCGTTCTGAAGTTTCATCCCATACCCTAAACCTACGAACTTACAAAGGCAAGGCATACCCATAATCAAATGTCATTAATACAAAACGTCGTGTATCAGAGCTAGATTATTAGTTACTCTGACATCGGTGTGATATATTTTATACCGAGTGAACGATTTCTTTTCATGCTTCTGTTCGACTTACTCACCCTGGCGTGCTAGCGAAAGTTTCAATTCGATCTCCCAGTCCATTGCTAGCGTCTATTACTTGAATTAACTTTGGTCAGATTTTTTCAGCACATTGTTTGATCTTTCCTCAGTGGAGGCGGTGACCTCTTACAAGCAAAGCAGAGTCATTAGCTGAGTCATTTGCCATCTTGTTGATGGGAGATCTTTTGTTGGCTCGTCTTCTTATAAGCGAATTCTACCCAATAAACTCAAGTCCCTTAGAATTTAAGGTCGCTCGCAACCGCTTCCACCATTTCACGGCTTTCAGGAGCACTACCATCGCTTACCAGTTGTTACCCCGATAATGATAGCAAAATCAAAAGACACTGTGAGAGATAGTGGTGTACAATGAAAAAAAAGTCACCATCGCAACAAATTAACTTGAACCAACCTCAAAACCTGGTTGTATTAAAGAGCTAATACCGTATTTTTTGGAATAAGCGCCCAACCTCGAATTAGCGCCCATCTCGAATAAGCGCCCAGCCTGAAGGCAGAAAACGTTAATAAGCGCCCAGCCTCGAGTAAGCGCCCACCCCCTCCTCCTCCCAATCAAACTCAAATAAGCGCTCACCCCCACCCCACCCACTTAAGTGAATAAGTTCCAATAAGAGACTTCCCCGAGGGCGGAGTTTTCTTCAGAGTATTTTACAGAAACCTTGCTTTATTACTTCTTCGCGTTTTGTTATTAGCATTTATTGTTTTGTTGCAAAACAAATATACTTCACTTGCTGAAAAAGGTGAAAATTTTATAAGCGCCCACTCTCAAGGTCCAAAAATTTAATAAGCTTCCAGGACGGTTAATCGAATAAATACTGTACCACTTTAAAAAGGAATGCGCTTGACCCTAAGTGAAAGACTAGTGAAAAAGGAAGCTTGTTTAGGAGAAAGAGTTAGAGTTAGAGCCAACTTAAATTGGACTTCTTTGAAACTCTTGTACGCTAAAGAAGGATTATCCGTCTCAGACAAGGTCTCGGTGTTGGATAATTGTCGGATTTTGAAGAGGGATTATCAGGCAGATAATCCGTCTCCAGTGTGAAAACGACCAGCTGTTCTAAAAAAGCAGTGAGGGTCATGCGAACTCATTTTGAAGTCTATATCTCTCTCTGTATGGTGCCTTCGAAAAAAATAGGCATGATCATGATCACAGCTCGGGGGGATACTGCCATATATGGGCTATATAGATATGTGCCGCTGTGAAGGGTATGGTTTTCAAGCAGTTTATCTTGGGATAGGGTATATAAATCAGAGAGTCTGGGTCTAGAAGAGGGTATCATTTTGTCTGTTTGTTTGTTTGTTTATTTTTTCCTCCATTTATTTATTTTACAAGCCATTTATGTTGTATTACAAGATTGAAGAATTAAAGATGCTGTTTGTAGAATTAAATATCAGGTTACAAGAATAAATGGAGAGGGCAGGATATAGTTAAACTAATTACTTGCCCTTTGATTAAATTAGAGTTTTATTTAGGTTAAAAGAGAAAAAAAGAGAAAAGTATAAACCCTATAAACTATGAAAAATATATGAAAAATATTCAAAAGAGAGGAAAAAGAAAAGCACATACACACACACACGCATAAAAAAATGTAACATTTGAGAGTCGGTGTGGCGATGATTAATACTGAGCAAGATAATAGTTGAAAAGCGCTCTTTTAAACAATTTTTTAGTTGTTTTTTCACGTATAGATAAAGGAATATCATTCCAATAATAGCATCCTATGACTGTTGGACAGAATTTTGTTAAATTTATTCTAAAGCTACTGGGATTTAGGTGTTGCAGGGATGCACTTCTTGTGTCATAATTATGTTGCTCAGATACCGAGGCCAGCGTGAAATTAGACGGCTTTTTATCTACAAAGTGATCGTAAATCAGCTGGAAGGTATTTAGCTTCACATTTTCCATTTAAACTGATCAATTGGCTGAAGATTTTAGTCTACTGTAGGGAAACCGGGAATTGCCACTCAAGAATATCAAAAAATCAAATCGGTTTTGTTTTGGCTGGACTGTGCTAGTGAGCTCAGTTGTTTCTGGAAAACAGCTACTCTAGGATAGGGGGGATTTGGGGAGTTTGGTCTAGTATAGGGTAGCAAAATTCACTTGAACTAGCTGTGGTATAGGCTAAGGGTTCCAGGGTCCCAACGGCGCATCCGCACCCAAAAAGTCCTAAAGTACCCCCCGGGATCGCAGGTTAGTTCCAAACTCGCCCAGGCGTTGTGATATACTCTAACTCCTCCCTGTGTTGTTTTTATTTTGTTTGCTTCTCCGTTCGCTTTGTTCCTTTTTAAAAATCTTTGGCTGATATGATCTCGGAGGAACATCAGGCCGCACGTCTAGGAGTGGGACCAAGGGACAACACCATTCCCAACCCTATCCCAGAAAGTAAATAAATCATTGATCATCGACACGTCAACTGTGACCGTTGCCCAAGATCTCGTGCATCATGAGGTTTTCCTTGAATTATCTAGTTCTTTTTGCTTTGATTTTCTCTGTAAGTGGGGCTGAAAATGAGGAAGTCACTATAGAGGTTGTAGAAAAGCCAACAGACTGCGAACGTAAATCAAAAGACGGAGATCTCTTAGCCATGCATTATACCGGCCGTTTGGAAAAAGATGGCTCGATTTTTGACTCCAGTCATAATCGCGGGCAGACGTTTGATTTTACTCTTGGTAGAGGTCAGGTAATTCAAGGCTGGGAACAAGGTCTTAAGGACATGTGCGTTGGAGAGAAAAGGAAGCTTAGGGTTCCTGCACATCTTGGTAAGTTAGTAGTCGACTTTGTTCGAACGATCGATCGAAACGCGACTCGTGTAACGGAATGTGACGTTCAGAAAGCTAGAATGTTTCGTCTATGGCACGCACATTTCATTTGTCTGTACGACCAGCTTACAATTGAGCGTAACTCTAAAGCTAAATTATTTCTTTGAAGACTCGAGAGACTGAATAGAAACAGTGTTAAGGAAATTTTTCTTTGTGCTGTAGCTTGAAAAGAACAGGTCACATAAAGGCCCTTTGTTAGCTGTAAGCGTATCTTCGATTACCGTTTACCGTTATGGCCAGCTTTCTGTATAGTCCCTAGAATAAAAAAAAATATTCATTCGAAAAGAATATAATGAGTAGTCATAAGAAACAGAGCTGTTTTGCCAAACTCCCCCACCCCCCTCCCCAACCCCTTTCCATCACTGCATCACTGCTGTCGAGTCAACCTTATCAGCGGTCACGCTATATTAAACAGTGACTTTCAAAAGTCTAGCATGCCAAGCGCAGGGAGAAATGCAATGACCGGAAATATGTCTGTGCTTCACAGGCTAACAAAAGTCTCGTGTAGACTCGACTTTATTAAACAGTCACTGTCAAGATGTACCAGGTCTATGGGCTGCAGACATTCTTTTGGCTTGTCATGCAGGAACCAGTGACCAACCATTAAGAACATATGCATGGGAGGCTGAGACAGAGACTGTTGGGTGGCATTTTTACATATGGAAACATTTTATGCTCTGTAACTTAAAGTAAATATTTCTGACTTTCATGTTGTATGCACTATGTTTGTCAGGTTACGGCGATCAAGGAGCTGGCAGTGTGATCCCACCAGGGGCAAATCTTTTGTTTGATGTGGAACTGATAGAAATAAAAGAGGGTGATAGCGAAGAAGAAGGGGATCAGGGAGGGTCCCCCCCAGATGTGTTTGGGATGATCGACAAGGACAAAAACAAGGAGCTAAGCATTGAGGAAGTCAAAGATTACCTGAAAGAACAACAAGGATTCCCAAATGATGATGAATCCAACCATGAAACTATTTTATCCGAAATTTTTGAACATGAAGATAAGGATAAAGATGGAGTTATTTCATATGAAGAGTTCACTGGACCAAAACATGAGGAACTTTAGATTCTTATTTATAAGAAATAATAGCAAAATTTAGCTGTTTTTAGTGTTGCATTTTTCTTGAAAATGAAGGAGTGTCTATATCTCTCCAAGCAAAGATAGTCAATGTTTGTTATAAAATAATAAAATTTCGGACATGACATTGTTAGTTCATATGTCTTTTATTTTGTGATGAATGACTCTAGTGCCTTGAAGATAGGCCCATATTATACGTTTTATGGGGTTTGGACAAGTAAAACTACTGCAAGTACTTCTTGCCTATTATTCCAGCAAGCATTCCGTTAAAATTTTGAGCCACATGAAAGGGGCTCCCTGCAACACTTTCCTCTCAAAAACCATTTTAGACTACCTAAAGTGCCTTAAAACTCTGCAAATGCATTATTAGAAGCACTGTTTGGTCATCCCAGGGCAACTTAAACCTTTTTGAGTATGTCTTTCCCAAATATCACAAATTAAATACTATCAAGAAACACCCTAACCATATAACTTAAGTAATGGTGTCACCTTGTGTGCTTTTTGAAAGCCTGTATATGTTATACACCAAATAATCCTGGTATTTATCAATGCAAACATAACCTCCCAAAATTATAAACGTTTTTACAAAAGCACAATATATTGGCATTTTTACGGTAACAGTTAAATTCTATACATTGTTCATACATAACCCACTGAAATAAACTTAGCAGCAGGGTGGACATGGTCGATTGCTGAAATCATAGGCATTTCCGGTGTCTGAGACCTTGGAGGATAATATTATAGATATGGTTGAAACGAGTTCATTATTACGAAGCGACGTTTTTAATTTCTGTTATTAATGACATCAATGCACAAATGCTTAGTTTTCTTCCCCTTTTACCCCTCCCTCGCGGCGTCCCAGTTAGAGAAATCGTGAGAGTCTGGGACCAAATATCAAAGGCAACTTCCACTGGAAGAAGATATCAGTTCTTGTTTCATATTTCCCTCGTAATTTTTGCGAAGTAAATGTTGTTCTCGTCGTCCTTGCTCAACAAGAATTTAGAGGGACAGAATCTCCTTTAATCTACCTTTATCATGAGCCAGATACCTTCGGGTATTTCGCGTTTAAAGACGCCAAGCAGAGTTGTGAAGCCAATTCATGGCGGCGGCGGTCCGGGTAGCACAGGTCAAACTCCTTTAGTCAAACCACGTGGCGCTGCAGCTAGTTCTGCTCAGCAGACAACATCAACAGTGCAACCAAGAACTAGTCCTTCAGGGGGAAAACTTAACCAGACAACGACTGGGCCCGTTAGAAGGGGATCACAAGCAACTGAAAATGGCAAACTAAGCGCAAGCAGCAGTCGGGAACGTTTAGTGAGTCCTCGAGGCTCAGTCGCTGGCGGACAGATTGCACAACCTCGATTACCCTCGAGAGAAAATTCTCAAACAAGACTACAGTATAGGAGAGAAAGTTCAAGTTCTAGTTTACGTGGAAGTTCGTCAAAAACAGATTTAACACAACCTACTGTAAGGAGACGTGGCGAAGCATCTAGAACGGCAGAAAGTCAGGCGGCATCTGACTCATCCAAGTCAAATTTGCGTAACTTGTTCAAAATAGGCGATCGTGTTTTGGTAGGAAATGCAAACGCTGGCGTTATAGCATTTATCGGAGAAACTCGTTTTGCCAAAGGCGACTGGGCTGGGGTAGCTCTGGACGAACCCGTTGGAAAAAATAATGGTAGCGTTCAAGGTGTCCGATATTTTGATTGTGAACCGAGTCATGGAATATTTACAAAACTAGAGAAGTTGACAAAAATAAATCAGATCCCTAACGACATTCGGAAATCTTCGATAAGCGGCGAAAGTGGAAATGACAAACCGAAATCAAGCATTAAAATTGGCGATCGTGTTGTAGTAAGCGGGACGAAACATGGAGTTGTGAGATATTTGGGAGAAACTGGATTTGCAAAAGGAGTTTGGACCGGCGTCGAATTAGACGAACCTCTAGGTAAAAATGATGGAGCAGTGGCAGGAACAAGGTAAAACTTTCATTTTATTGCGTTTTACAACCATTCAGACGTTATGTATGTCGTGCAGGGAAATGCCATAACGATAAATTTTTAAAAAGTGACGAGAATTATAATTCGATTCTCTCATTGTTTACTTTTTTCCCACAACGATACATGTCGTTTTGGTTTTTATAGCTTGATTTATGTTTAATGACAATGATAATTTGACGAGATAAACATGGTTAAACTTGGAATCGATGTTTTCTATTGCCCTTTGATGTCTAATCGAAACAGCGATTTGTAAAAGTAAACACATGATTCGCGATTTATATTTCTGTACACACCGCCACGTCGACTGAAATGTCAACATCTTTGCTACGATTGGCATGCGCCATAATTATTTTGATGCAAAATATTTGTTTTTGTATTCTCAGATGTCCTGATTTACACCTCATACTCTTAGAGAATTATCACCTTTACCTGCTTTTTGAGAATCTTTATATTTTCAAGTCTGTTAATCAAAGACAATTGGTGGTTCTTAACTTAGAATATTACATAATCATGAAATAATATACTTCCGATATTGGAGTTAGGATAATTATCAGAGTGATTTTAGCATTTCTTTGCCGTTATGGAAGCAGTATTTAAGTGTTGTTGGATCAAATTTTGGATAATAAGCCCGCAAAAGTTTTTCTACAGCATTTTTTACATTGCTGAAAAGAATATGCGACACAGTTGGTTGGACAGTTGGAATAGTGACAATTCCTGCAGGGCACAAATATTTGAAAAGTTATAACCTTAGTTTAGTAAATCATGTTGTGAGAAATTGTATGAAGATAAAATTGGCATGAATTCGGGCATCCTATGGCAAGCTTTTCGGCTTGTGAAGCAATCATCGCACCAATAATAGTTGCACACTTGCCTTTCATTTCTTTTTTGCTTTGCAAATGTGAGAATTTAAACTATTATGCGTTAATATTGTTTGAGGTTAAGCTAAAAATATAATATCCTTCCTTAAATACTTCAGATACCTTAAAAAGGTATGTATAAGGTATGTAAAGCTAGGTATTCGTTATTAATTTTTTATCAGATGAAACCAAAAATAAAATACAGTAACTCACTTTCAATATTTTAAATTAATTTGACAGTGAGTCCTGGAGGACACAGACAAAGAAAGCTAAGACATATGTTAGTTCATTTTGTTTGTTAGTGTCCCTTAGGACTTGCTATCATGCTGAATTCTAATGTATCACAAGTGGGCGAAAGAGAATATTTATGCCAAAGCTCCATAAATGAGACAGTTACAATAAGAAAGAGAATGGAAATGGTACTGATAATAATTACTGCAAGAGAGAGCTCTTTTGACCAACTGTTAGGGCTGTCAAAAGTTGTCTCAGGGGTTTCAGTAAGCACTGACAGGCGACAAAACATGTCGGCTACTTTGCTTATAGAGGTTGGCTACTTTTTTCCAAAAAGAAGAAGCAACTAGTTTGAATGACATTGTAAACAAAATTATTATCATAAAATCTGAATGAAAACATATGATGTGTTTTCATAAAGGCCTACTAGTTTTACGTTATGTTTTAGTCATGTGTATGCTATGTTTCAGTCATTTTTTCACAAGTTTCTGTATATGTTTACGCAAAATTTGTTTACAAGCAAAAGTACATAATTTAGTTTTCATCATTTGTTCATTGCTTGTAGGAATTGATTGTGTGACTGATAAATTGAAAGCTACATTTTCTCGAATGAAAAACATGCTCTAATGTCCTCAAATTTAGTCCCCAGAATGCTGAAAATCACATGTTAGGGCTTTGAAATTTCAAAATTTCCTGGGGAAGCATGCCCCCTGACCCCCTCTCCTCCTAGAAAAAGTGGACTAAAGACCCCTTGTCAATACAGTCAGTTACTATATTCAATTCTGCTGTCTACTGCAGTTTTAATTGAAACCCCTGACTCTGTTGCCTCTTGGTTATGTCAGTCAGCCACTGTTTTGTAGTTCTTTTCTGGAGAGTATGTATTAGTGAATTGGTAAGAGTCCATCCTCTTTACCTTTTCTTTGCTGGAGCACTTGATGGAGTTTTGTAAGGTGACTCTAACTTTTGAGTCAGTGGACAAAATGAAAGGTCTCTTTGCCTGTACTTACACATGAAATTTGGAAATTTGGTCGAAATTTGCTTTTGGCTAAATTTGGCAGTGAAAGGGTTAGTAATATAGAAAGTGCTGAAGAAGAATGTACATGTTCACTCTGACAGCCAGCTCCGAATAACAGTCAGGGAATATTCTTTTGCTGTTAATTCTGTTAAATTATTCTTTAAGGAAATGTAGGAGATCATTCTGGAGAATTTGTATGTCATACATTATGGTTAGAAGGGTTGACAGTGGCTGTGTTTTAAAGGTTCAGCTGCATGTTGTTGCTAGACATAAGAGACAAGAGGTTTTTGTTTCTCTACTTCTTACATGCTTCTTGGTTGAAGATGATCTGACACACTTCCAGTCAGACTTAGAATCAGATAGTTGTGGCTAAGTATAAAAATTAGGCTTTTTAAAAATCTACAAGTTTTCTTGAGCTTGCTGTTTTCTAAAAGTAAGTTAGCAGTTAAATTTTCCTCTGGATTTTACAGCCTATGAAGAAAATTTTTCCTATCCTTCATTGTACCATTCAAAAAATTCACCCACTAAGAGTGTGTATGTGCTCTCTCTCTTCATCCTTTTCCTTCAGATATTTTCAATGTGAGCCAAACTTTGGCTTGTTTGCTCCACTTCATAAAGTTGTGCTGTCAAGTTTACCTCTACCAGCTAGACTACAAAACCAGACACAACAAGAAAATGATGTGCGGAAGTCTTTGGACGCCCTGGGAAGTAACAGCTCCCTTAGTTCAATCACCTCACCACAAAGTGTATCCTCTCCTACTCCTAAACCGACCAGTACAAGCACATCACAGGTAATGTTACACCACAGACTTGGTTATTACTAACACTTATCATCATGTGCTGCTCTAGTTTAGACATGTACTGTACCAGCACTTGCATGGTCGTTACTTTTTACATCATGTGCTGCTTCTATGACTAAGATATTTCCAGCTACAAATATAATAATGTTACCTTCTGTCACCTTGGAGTAGCTTGTGGGAACAATGTAAGATTTGAGACAAAATACTGTTACTGATTATGTTAAT